TGGGGAAAGTGTCAGGAACTTACTGCATGGACCTTTTTATTCATGTGTCATTAGATTAGAAGCAGCAGAAGACCCAAATGTTCTTCTGTCTCACTCACATTCCTGACACAGCTGACACCTTGTCAATTGTTGTCTGGCTCCATGTTCAGAGTTAGCTGCAGTGTGCAATCCCATTTTCTCTCTGCTCAAATCAAATCAAAATTTAGATGCTTTCAAAATGGACTATTGTAAGCCATATGGTCATTACAAATACTGTTTCCCCTTGTTACGAAGTACTGAGGGACTCGTATATAGAAATGCATAGGTCAAAGGCTTTCTCAATCATGACTACATTAATCACTGATAATAGCTCTGTGTCTTCCTTCAGGCTGTATTAGAACTTGTGACTGGATAAATTATATAACAGAAGATGTCATGGAATAGTGTATTATACTTTGGTCGTGTTGGTTTGTATTAATGACTATGAGCTGTCGCTGCATCCAAACAGAAGCATTCATTTAATCTACATTCATATTAGAATGTAGAAACTTCAACCCTTCTAATGAGAAAAAGAGGAAAAGACACCTGAATGTGTCAGAAGCCAATGAATTTGGGACTCCATGTTTAAAGCTCTACCATACTATCATTTTGTTAAATCAACAAGAGACTGGTAAAATTATTCTGGCACAAAAGTGCTCTGTGGAGAAAATATGTCACCTTGGACAAAAAAATGGAGACCCAGAGCAAAAAAACAGCCAACTACAATTCACCTTATCCCAAATAACTGTCTAAGGCAGTGATCCTTGGCTAATCCCGAGTGACTGCCTGCAGGGCTAAGCCAACATGCATGTTTATGTCAACAGTATTCATGAATGCTGATCCTCTCCATCTCCCAGGAGCTGAAAAACACTGATGGACCTGGGACTGGCTAAAATGACCTGTTTTTGGTTTCAAACAAAATACATGGGTTATGTTGAGCTACTGATGCCCAAAAGCACAATGAATCATAGTAATGATTCCTGTCAAACACAGCTACAGGTTAAATTAGCAAAAGGCATGTCAATGTATAAACTCAACAATACACCGAGACAAGACACATGCTTCCAGGCTCACACATAGCAGGTGAGCATTACACAAATACAGTACGTTTTCATTTATAGGACTACACTTAGTTTTTAAAGTTAGTAAGGGGGGGTGACATATATAAATTTATATATCATATATACGTTCATAAATCAGAAATTATTACAATCGAAATAAACTTAAGTGATTCAAACAACATCTACCTCAAACTAAATTAAACTGGCCAAGTCAAGTGAAGATTATGATGATGCAAGTGATGAAGCTCCTAAACTCACAACACAATGGAGCCACTCCCACATAGAAGGGTTTTCTGAGGAATTCCAAATAAAATCTGCATGCATATGACACACAGAAGCATGCCACATTGCTCAGTACTATCACTGGTATGCCAATAAAGAGAGGAAGTTCTAGATAAATGAGTGTCTGTTAGCTGCCGATGTGACATCAACAATGTTAGTATGAGTCCTCAGGATGCTTAAGTCATCGGCATGCTCAGTCTAAGGTGAACAACACACAGGCTTTTAACCACAATGTGATGCGGAGCCGCAGATGCTTAAGTCATTGGCATGCTCAGTCTAAGGTGAAAACACACAGGTTTTCAACCACAATGTGATGCACAGCCGCAGATATACTGTTAGCTCAGGACGCTGGGGTGTTGGTTTCAGTGTAGGACTAGTATTTACTTATAGCGTGACTACATCCTATAAGTGTATTAAACAGCACAGAATATTAAAAAAGTGATACTAGATTCAAATAGACCTAATCCCCCCAAAATACTGCTCACATTTAAGAGTTCTCTTCTAAATGCCTGAATGTTTGTTCTGGATTTGTGTGGTGAAATAAAGATTATATTGGGACTTGTGACTGAGTAGTGCGTTTCACCTGTGTTTCACCTGTGCATCAGCTGCGATTATCATTTGGCAGCATGCTGAATATCAGTTGTCACCTTTAGTCAGTCCTGGCCATGGAGTTAAATGACACAAGAGTGTGTCCTGGCTGGTGGCACACGCAGTCACCGGTGACTGACACAACACTGAATCATACATGCTGACACTTTCAGGTAGAAACCACTCTTTCATTAGGTCATCGACAGAAAATGTAGGCCACACCTTTCCACGGAGGGTTAGTTAGTTCATTTGACACTGCACTTTCTACACATTTTAATTCATAGTGTTGGGATTCACCTCAACAGAGGGGAGACACTTCAATCCTAAATTACGCTGCAGGACGTGTGTGAATGTTGCTGTCGTGTTTTGACCTGCTGAAATGCGTCAGGAATGTAAAAAAAAAAAAAAAAACAGAGGTTTGTTGCAGTGTTCAAGTCTACACAACTTAATATGCAGACGCTGACTCGTACTTTGAACTGAATCATACATGCTTCAGAGGACTTTGTGAGCTGTGTTGACAGCCGGTAGACGGCTTAGTGGGAGACATTAATTACAGGTATGGTGTCAGTTTTGTGTTCTGTACCTTTACTCGAAACTTGAGAAGATGAAAACCAAACCAACATAAGGTTTTAGTGTAAACACTTTCGGGCCCCGACCATTCTTATGTTTAACTTGACAGAGGCAACACAAGTTGACCCAGTGAGATACTCACAAATTTCTTCTTCCCATCTCCATCATCGTTGCTCTTCTTTGATTTCTTGTCCTTCTTGGGACCAGCGGCTGAAGCAGAATTACCAGTGTGTTGATCCATATTAATAAGTTAATCCGTTTCCTTGAATTGGGAGTCCAAACAAACACGTGCGGCGATTAATCGCCTCGCTTTCGGAACAAAGCTAATGTTCCTAAAGTTGCGAAAAAATGTGACTTCCCCGGGGCCTTCGCTATTGCCTTGTGCAGCTAGCCTCAATTAGCCCTTGATTGCTAATAAATAGGTGGAAACCCATACGAGACCCTCGCAAAGCCGCCTGACTCAATCACTTAAGGAGGGAAATTCAAAGCACAGCTCCAAGACCTCGAGACAAGTACGAAAACAACCTGTTGCGACTGTGGAATACAAACGAGGTTGTAATTATTCCACCTCCGGCACGAATTACGCATTAAATGCTTCACTACGTGAACATTAGTCCCCAAAACACACGATATCAAAACAGGCTACCGTTAGCTTTAGCAGAGCTAGCTCGTCGGCAGCAGTAATGTAGGTAAAGCGGAAAAAACGTCCCGGTCCTACTTCTACGAGCACTTTTGGGCGACCGAAACACGAACGGCGACCTGGCGCTACGGATGACTCGAGTCAACCGAGTGTCCAAAATTGGTTTCCATGACTGCTTGAAGTTTAGTGAACTTTTTAACCCCTGGGTGACAACGGGGAAGCGGCGGTTGTGTAGCAGTTGAGAAGTCTTCCTGTTCTTCTGACAGTGTGCTGCTGGTTGGGGAGGAGCCCGGGCCTGGCCGCTGCACCTGAGAGGATTTAACTGACAGCTCGGGGAAGGAGAGTGGGGAGGGGGTCCAGAGACCAGGCTTTCATCGAAATGTACACCTTTTATCGATTTTGTGTGACCTAACCAGTCACGACTTGCGTCCAGAAGCACACAGAGGAAAGTTCCTGTCGGTCTATAGCCTAAAATGCACAGAGATAAGTCTAGAGTCCCTAAAGACACAGTTAAGATGTCAGATGAGAAACTAAAGTGTAGAATCAGCAGCAGGACTGTCAGCCTCTGGCTGGAAATTGTCAAAGTAGCATTACAGTTAGATCATTTGCAGGGTTTCTGCGTTTTAAAAGTTGTTTTATTTACTTCATGTAGTCAGATAGGTGAATTATTGTGATATCCATCTCCAAGTGCCTCACATATTTGTTTCATTTTTCTATTTTATTATTTGTTTACATTGATTTCTGCTTGATAACATACGGTGGATTCATATCACCTTATATTTTTGAAGCTCAGTACTCTTACCAGTGGTTATTCATTAAATATGGTCCATTATCAGGAACATTCCTCTCCACAATGAAGAGGCAAGACATGTAATGCTGGATTTTCAGCCTCTGTTTTTACAAAGGATTTTTCGTTTTATTTATGAACGTCAGATCTCTTTTTTTAGCTCTGAACTCTTTTTATTTGTTCTATGTTTTGGTCTTCCCCTCCAGCAATGGTATTAGCCCCTAGCCATTTTGCACTCCACCCATGCTGAACATGTAAAAAAAAAAACAAGACCCAGAGCTCCCCCGAGTGGTTAGAGTGAGAACTGCAGGCGCTGCAGTGTCATCCTAGCAGGCGACAATAGTATAAACTCTAACTATATACCATAATGATATCCATTGGAAGTCCAATACATATTTGTCTTTTGTTTGCAGTCTATTATTTCACAAATCCAGATTTTTTTTGTTCTCATCACAAATGAAAATCAATTACAATGTTTTGCACAGTTCTATTAAATGGAACATCCCAAAGTATCTAATCTAAATGAATCCTCAAAAATAATTTTTGACTGCACTTGCCCCGTGCAATATCAACACATCTGTATAATATACAGAGCATGAAACGCACTGTCCCCTTTTGTCTCCGATATACATAAACTTGTGAGCAGACCTGCACTCTCTCTGTCACACACACACAGGATTACAGAGATAGGTTCATTTGATCTGTCTTGGAATGTGACAGATGTATTCCAACAACAGGATTGAAGAGGATTTTCATATCACTGGTGGCGCTGAAACAGACAAGGGTTTTCTTTATCGCACAGGATGGGTCATACTTCAGCGTGGCGTCTCTATTCTCCGGGACTGGAGGTAGTGGCGCTATAAATTGTTAGAGAGAGGTTAATTAAAAGTGAATGTGCTTGATAAGACTTGCAGCCCTATACAGCACTCATATAAAATCCTCAGTGGATGCATTAAATAATAAACGGCCGGCTTTTCACATCAGCAGACGCAGCACCAGCCTCAGCGTTGATGTTCCTTTGGATGTACACAAACAGAAGAATCTCAGAGAACATTTCAAGTAACTTTATGCAATCATATACAGTCCCTACAACCGGTCAGTCAATCATCTCATGATTAGCAAAAGACTGGAAATCCTGCAGTGGTTGTTCTTAGACAAGACAGTCACATAACAGCCTTACAAAATATTCTATATACAGACTTGAACTGTAGTTTTTGTGTTGACATATATAGAGAGTCCTGCTTTCATGAGGAAAAACAGAGACAGTTACTAGTACAGTGATCCAAGCTGCAGGGCCCGGGTCAGATTTGTTAGCTGTTAGATGACTTAGCACAAGCTCAGAGGATACGAGCGTAAATATGTTTCCGGCTGGTTGGGAGTGCAGGTGGATCACGGCAGATGACGGATTGTTTCACAATTCGGGCAACATTTAGACTTCCAGAAAATATGACTTTCTAATTAAATCTGGAATCACTCTGTTATCTTTCCACCTGCCTGAGTAATTTCAAACGCTTGTTGACTTGTGTGAGGGGGAGGTGGGGAGGGGGTATGGAACATGTGCCAGTATTGGATTCCAGAATGTAGATCCAAACACTTCTACTGCCCTGTGCCATTAGTTCAGGGAAACACTCAGACCCCTCCAGCTGGAGTCTCACTCAAATCCAGAGGTTTCGGTCGGTTGGGGTTCACTTGTAGGAGGTCCGGGCCTCTCTCAGTGACCTGTCATATGGCATGGAGGCGAAGAAAGAGTTCCGCAGCTGGCAGTTGATGAAGAACACGATGAGCAGCACGAGCAGAAAAAGCAGCAGGCACATGATTATGTAGGTGATCAGGTCAGGTTTGTGGAGCTCCCCCTCCCGGAGCCCTCCGCTCCCTCTGCCGGCGGTGGGTCTCAGAAGGGCGGCCACGCTCACCGAGCCGCCGTGGGAGGCGTTCAGGGTGGAGGGGGCGTGCGTGGTGGACTGGGCCATGAGCGCCAGGTTAAAGTCAGAGGCGTCAGTGGAGTTTAGGAGGATCTGCCTCAGCATGGCGCCCCGCGGGCTCACCGGCTGGAGGAGGGGAAAACACAGGAAGGGGGTTATGTGGGCCACCGAGTCCCTGTTTTTCTCTGGTTGTGTGGCCAATATCTAATTGAACAAATACAATTAAAAAGCACTCAGGCACACACTGCATGACAAACGTGAGACGAATTGCGCTGCGGGGATATCTGTAGTCTCCTAAAGGCTATTATCCACTAAATCTGATGTATATGGATTAAAGATACCCCCCTAATATTTGACAAGGTCACTAATACACACAGTGTTGACACTCAGTAATACTCAGACTTGATTTAATAGAAGACAAAAGAAAACGTATGACGTGATAGTACAGTTTGTTCTACTTACTTTGATGTGAGCTGAGAAGAGTTCCGCGGGTAATCTGGAAAAGTCCAAATTTCGGCTCCGCATTCCTCTGCGTCCGCGGGTCAGTCTGCTCCGGCTCCGCCAAGGACGCGCGGCGAGGAAACTGCGGGCTGACAGCCGACAACCTGCTTCCACAGAGGCTGGGAAGAGTACGAACGCACCGTCCCTCGTCACATCAGATACGGTCAAATCCACGCGTAAGAGCCGATCAGCGTTCCAAAACAAAACATCGCTGCTTTTTTTCCTCCGGATGGCTTTTGAATCCAAATCTTGCCAATCGCGTCTTTGTGCGTTTTTGTCAGGATTGTATTTTTTTTTTTAGAAGCGCCGACAGAAATATCTGGATGACTTTTGGGTTCTGGCAGAGGTGGCTGAGTTCAGCGACGGTCGCTGGTGTGCGCACAGCTACACTCGCGCGTCGTGGTGCGCCACACTAGACCGCCTGCGCGCAGAGAACTTAGAAGCGATCCATGTACTCCGACCATTTGCTTGCCCTTTTTGTCCAGTAAATGATCGATTCATGTTGATTTGATACAATTCCGACGGCCTGGCCTGAAGAGTTTATCGACCCAGTGCCACTAAAAACGAGATGAAAGGAGGAATTAAAGGAGGACAAAACACATCAGCGCCCGGGGTCGTAAACAGCTTCCCATCTTCTCTCCGAGTTGCACGTGTATGACAGACAGAGGGGAGGTGAAGGGAAGGGAGGGAGGAAATTGCAGATCAGGAGAGGGTGAGGAGGTACCTCAGCCGATCATATCCATCCATCTGTCTGTCTGTCTGTCTGTCTGTCTATCTGTCTGTCTGTCTGTCTGTCTGTCTGTCTGTCTGTCTGTCTGTCTGTCTGTCTGTCTGTCTGTCTGTCTGTCTGTCTGTCTGTCTGTCTGTCTGTCTGTCTATCTATCTATCTATCTATCTATCTATCTATCTATCTATCTATCTATCTATCTATCTATCTATCTATCTATCTATCTATCTATCTATCTATCTATCTATCTATCTATCTATCACTACGTGGACAGTGTCCCTCAGCCCATTTTCAGAGAGATGAGAGAAAGCCCATTCCCTTACTGGTCCATTTCTGGGCCAGTGTGGGGAATGTCTCACGTTGGAGTGATGAGAGAGCAGGAAAAAGGTGTGAGATCACTGAGTGTGTGTGCATGAACTCATAACGGTGATTAAACTGAAGAATTGTTCTACCCGGTAGGTCACTGCCTGGGTTTTTGTTAAACTTAGAAATACATGGACAGAGCCCTGGCTGTTTAATTTAGGTTTGACTGAGAGATATGAAGCCTTGGGTAGACTTGTCTTTGTAGCATAGATAGGTTTGGTCTGTAATATTCATTATGTGTTGTTGTTACGTATGAAAGTGCCAAACGTGAAGACGGCTTTCTCTTACAAGATTTTCTCACTGTCTCGTGCATAGGGCACGAGTGTGCATAGGGCCAGATCTTACAACAGCTACGCTGATCTGTTTCATATTCATCTGCACCTGTTCTGTCTCAGCAGAATGCCTGGTGGGCTGATAGAGCAAGGGCAGAGGGCCACACACGTTCACTCAGCAATTCACTGAGCAATTCCTTAACAAAATCCTTGACCACAAATCAATTCAAATGAGCAAAATACTACTCTACAGATACGGCTTGAAGTGTCCCTTACTGTCCTGAATCAACCTTGTATTCACCAACACAGGATTAGATTATAAGGAATGTGAGTCACTTGGGACATCTGAAAACTGCCTTAAGCTTAGTTCACATGTGTGAAGGGAACAGCAGAAATCATAGTAATCCAGCCTCTTTATTATTTTTTCCTAAATGTTTTTCTCAATAACTTTTACGTTACCTTTTAAAGATAACTTTTAAAAGTATGTTCAGATAAAATAAGAGTAGAATTTTTTAAGCAAATGTAAAAAAAAAAAAAAAAAGACTGGTAAACAGCTGACCCTAAACTGAATGGTGTCATAGGTTCTAAATAGGACTAAATGTTTGAGTTTCCATATGCAAAATGATCCATTAAGTCATAAAAGATTGTTAGACGTCAAGTATGCTCCATATAAGCTTTTACCTCAAACATCTAATGCCTGCAGGTTCACTAATGATCAGATGGCAGACATGAGCCAAAAATCTATTCACAAGGGAGGACAATAAATGACCAGTCCCCCTTTGCAGAAGAGACTGCTTCACCATGACGCTGACCCACAAGAGCAATGGGGATATTACAGCGTGAGCTGCCTTATTGAAAAAAACTGTGATCATATATATTCCACACAATAAATTGTGTAACACCCAATCTTTATTTACAGAGCTCTTCCACAGAACAGAAGAGAGGTTCAGTGGGACCAGCTTAAATTAGCGGAAGCCTTACGTTACTAACGTTAACCTACTAGTGAACCACCATTGTTTAGGTTTGCTGTGCAAATAAATATGACAATGGAGTTCTTTCCACCCTATTTCCCCTTTCCTGAATCTATTATAGGACATCTGTCTTTTACAATGGAAGAAAAAATTGTCCATTAGCCATAATAGGTGTCATTAAATGCATGAATGCAGCTTGTTAGTACATAACAGGATGATCATGAGAGGGGTTGGTTGTGTCCCTGTAAGGTATTAATTTCCCCTGGTGCAAAGCAGGGAAAACATCATGTCTAATGTTAACACGGTCTGGCAAGAGCAGCCTGATCACATAGAACATTGAATAGTTTTACAGTGTGAAAGATAGTTTTAGAATTAATTGATTACTTTCACTATCTATTGAATACATTTGGAAGTGTCAGACAACTGCACTCAAACGTTATGAATTTGTCGTCGTCTTCAATAAATAGAAAATACAGTCTATTATTACATGAACTAATTTACCATCCCATTGAAACATTTCTGAATGGTATAGCTCACAGAACAGCTCTTCACCAATGAATTGTTATTAAAGCACCATCCATACCTTTTTTGAAAACATTCAGTGGGGTTTTGATGTCTCATTAAAGGAAAGTTTAAAGTTTAAGGAAACCTCAGTCTGCTTCGGCAGATAAGCCAGTGTGACGGGAAAAAAAACACTTCTGCTTTTGGAAGTAGCTCGACACAAATTATATTTTTTCTTCAATTGAACAGTGCTAGATTTGCAAAACTCTACGCTTCAATAGCTCTTAGTCTGGTGACATGGTTTGGTTGTGCAAAGAAGCAGAAAGGGACGTAAACAGGGGTTTAGTGCATCGTAATATATACTGTACGTTGATTGATGCCTTGCTTTGTGACTAATTGGAACACTTATCAGCTTTTGTTCAAAAACTGTAACTTATTATAAAGGGATTTTAATTAGGATAATGGGATTGTAATTCTCTATCAGCACAAAGATTATAATGGGGCTCATCTCAGCGGAGGCTGCAACTCCCTCAGCAAATCATGTCAAACGTCCTTTTGTAAAGCAATGGCACCACTTCTTCGATGGGTTTGTTCATCTGTTCTCCCCTCTGGATCGTTTATCACGCAGGCTCTGTGCTCTTTTGGTTGCCTTTGCCTCTAATTCCTTCCGCCAATTCTCAGTTGTGTGGTCTTATTTCACTAACTTTTCTTTGTGCCTCTCCCTTCCCTCTGCTAGCTTTTGCTGTCTCTACACCCCTTACTGTTTCTTAATCCCTCTAATCCATGAAGTAGGGGGAAAAAGACAACGCAGCCATAAAGCAGTGACTTATCAGGGTGAGAGACAAACAAGAAAAGTGAAAGTTTGTTTTGGTAATGTTTCACTCGTAGGAGAACGAGCGACAGAAAGTGCTTGAAAGGTGCTTAATGTCCCCATCGATGGGACATGAGCAAAGTCAATGGCAAACTGTGCAAATCAACAGGGATTATGTATGTGAAGCCTCCACGTGGAAGCCTTGCCACTGTTTCTCTAATTTAAACGCACTGTTAGCACACACAGTGGTGCAAACTCACAGTCAGCTAACTGACGGGGTGCCACTTTGTTGGTCTTATTTCCCTCCATCCTGCAGGAGACAGGATCAGCGCTCATAAAATCTTCATTCAAAGCGTTCTGCGGTGTTCTGCATCATTAAGCTTCAGTCACCTCAAATGATGCCGTGTCAAGTGAGGCCGAACAAAGAGCACTACCAAAAGAGATTGTCTCTGGTCACGGCAGTGATTTACTCAGCCGTTACAGCTAATGCCCCAGAGGTAAATTGCTTTAGTTACTTTAGTTGTGTTTAGTTTTTGTTTATTTTGCGTCATGAAGGAGTAATACTGTTTTTCTTGCTTTCCTCAGCATGGGCTCTGGGAGCCATTCGCTGCACCAGCAAACATCAAACAGCCACCCAATTGTAGTGTTTGGAGCCTATCCATTTCTGCTTTGCATCGCTTCGGTGACTCATGAAAACAGTGCTCTGCAGCCTCTAATCAGCCCCCCGCCCCCCCAAAAATAAAAAATATTATGCTGCAACACACACGCAGACCTAAAAACGATTTCTTATAAGAACATTATCTGAGATAGACTCTCTGGAGTAGACTTATGTGCATGTCCTTACATGTGCTCAAGCAAATGCACGTATTAAGAGTCACCTTGCATGTATAAACCACAGTCTGGAATACACACTCCTCACTACACAGTTGAATAAACAGAGAGAGAGAGAGAGAGAGAGAGAGAGAGAGAAGAAAAGAGGGAAAACATGCAGTCACGCCACACAGACAATATGGTGACTAATGGCTATACAAGCACCAAGGAGTCTTTTGACTCTTATGTCAATATCCCCCCATTACCAGTTGGACTGATTTCCAAATAATGTTCGAGAAACAAATGTCTCTCCTCTTTCTTTCTCTGTAATTGCACTCATTTTCTCCCACTCTTATCCTCTTTAACCTTTGTGGGAGAATAATCTGTACAACCCCTAACTTTGCTTCTCTCAATAGAAAAGAATGAAATGACAAAAGTACAAATGAGCAGAACCATTTGCACTGGTGGATCACATTTAAATCCATACACAGGGACGCGCACAATCTCTGGTCTCACTGTTTCAAGTGCAGGATTCTGAAAATGCAAAGGAAAATTATGCAAAAGAAGAGACTGATGTAGAATGTATTACCAAAGACCATAACATATGATGACATTTAGAACAAAGACACAAAACTTGTTTGTAAGACAATCACGGTGGACTTAAGTATTATTCTTAAAGCTGGCAGTTACAAGAAGCTTCTGGGCTGCATAAGAAATCTGAATCTAAAAGGGTGCATTGTTCCCAAATTGTGGACATAATTGTAATTAATTGTTCTATAATTTTTTTACAATAGCCTTTTGTTTGTGCTGTTGGTCTTTGATTTTTGAATACTACTTAATAGAACTCCTTTTTGGCATGCAATTGAACATGTAGTCAGATTATAGTATCACACAAATAAATATGAATAAAACTCTGCATGTGGACACAAAAGAAAATATAGAGTGCAACTCAATTGATAAAAATACACTAACTATAAGATACATTTCAGCCAAGGTGGGCTCATTTAAAATCTGCAATTAATTTGAAATGAACTAAATTCACAACACTTTTTTTGTGACACAAATTAGTCTCAGATCCTGATGAAGTTCAACTGGCATGAACAAACAAAACAGCCTAAGCCTTTAAATGCCGAAGGGGTGTTTTTAGGTGTAATTCCAAGGATAAAAAAAAAACCCCACATTGAATATGGTGAAACTCAGCAAGATTCTCTTTTTAATCTGAATTCCTAATGCCAGTCATTCGGGGAGGTTGTGTTCAGGATCAGTGGAGAAGGTCTGACGAGGGGGAGGGATGGAGTGCCCCCGGTAAGTGGGTGCTTATCTGAGTGTGGGATGGGTCCTCGGTTCAGTAGCCCTGTGACAGAGCAGAGGCTTACTCCCAACGCCTGAGACTCGAAAACAAAGAAATGAATCAACAGGAAGAAAAGGGAAAAGAAAGAAGGGTGTCCAACAGAAGGGTGAAACAAATGGGGGAAATGGAGGATGACGGGTGCAAACAGATGGGAGTATGAAATAACAAAAGTTATGTTGCTAACAGATATTCTGTGATTATGCACATATGTACGTATTGTCGTATGCATGTAGGATGTGGAGTGGAAAAGATCCACTCCTCTACTCAGTTTTATTCAGATAGTGCAAGGAAAAGGTCACCTCAAACACTTTAAAGATTCTTGTCTAATTCAATCCAAATTTCATACAACTGATCACAGTCCAAGTTAGTCCACCATATGTAAAGTCTATTAATAAAAAGCTGAATCGAATCCTCTTTTCTATCCACTCCCACATTCTGAGTATGCTCAATGCCACAGTGGGACAGAAATCTCCAGAGGGTCTGCCGTCTGCCTTACACAGAGAAGAAATGAAGCTAAAGACACAGAAAGTTGAACAGATATCGAGACCAACACAAACACACGACAAAACAACGGTGGAAAAGCCAAAGAAAAAGAAAGACGAGGTGTGAAAGTGAGACAAGGTGAAAACAAAACAACAGCTACTGCAAAAAGTGGGAAAGGAGGGGGAAGTGAGTCAGAAGATGAATGTTGTTGAGACAGCCACGGCTAGCCCATAAAAGGGAAACTATGTTGTACATACATAAATAAACGAAGGGCAAATATTGCCTTATATTAGGAGCAGTAGTCCTGTGATTGTTAACATAACTTCCTCTCTATGTCTTACTCATTCTCTTTATTCACACATCGCTCTCTTAGAGAATGAATGAGACAGTGTTTACAACCCCGATAACATCCTGGTACAGCTTTCCGTATCTGCTCATCTCTCCCAAGACAGAGATTCAAATATATACACATAATGAGAACACCAGTGAGAAGAATTGTGATATGAAAGATTGTTTCCAAACTGGATGGACTGCTTCCTCATATCAGGCAGACATTTTCATAAAGCAATTCTAATATAATAAAACTTAAATTATGTTAATGTAAAGGTTCATTTTTGTATTTCATTAGACAGCTTTGTAAAGAAAAACACCCTGATTATTAGTCAAAACCGCATTATTTTGTCAAATTATTAAAAATATACAACACAAAGAATTCTACGATCAATAAACACTCCAAATGTTTTCGTCTTTTGTCTTTTTTTTCAAAATTTAGAGCGATGTCCTGGAGCGGTTGGGGAATCATTAAATTACATAGATACTCCTTTATCTGGGGGTCAGGGCTGACTACTCTGATCTCCTCTTGTGAGATGTGAGACATGGTGAAAACCTGTCAAAATCGTCATGTCAAACATTCCATCCATTCTTTTCTAGTGGAGGTAAGGCTCTGAATATCTGAATATATGGCTTTTTTTGACAGTCTCCCAGTAGCCCCATCCTGTTGTGCTCCATCAATCCCCATGACTGCTCCAGAAAATGAGATATTGGCATTTCACCAGTTTCAGAGATTCATGATAGAACTCTCATTACTGTGGACTTGCGGTCAATTTTAACCTGTCAGTGAAGAGCAAACCCCAGTTTCTGAGAAAAGAGGAAATTTGGGAAATGCAAGAAAACGTAAATCTGAAATCCTTTTAGCAGTCAGAATCTTTATTTATCAGCCTATATCGCCTATATCAAATAACTATTTTGAGTTGTCTTCAGTGATCATCTTTATTCTTTTCTAAAAATGCGGACATTTCTGATGGCAAAGACATACTAAAAGTTGATGTAAGAGATAAAAAAAAAAACAATAGATAAGTTGTTATGTCAAAAATACACAAGCTACTGCATTGGTTGCATTAACTGGCGATAAGCATGGGTGCCAACACTTGGTATAAAAGGAGCACCTTTAAAGGCCCAGTCTCTCCACACACTTATAATACTGTTCCACAATGTGTGCTCACCACTCTATCAGAGTAACATCATCAACTCAAAGAGAACTTTTCACTCATCCTGTCCAGCCCCCCCGCAACCCCACTGGGAATAAGCAGTGTAGACAACGGATGGAGGGGTAAATATATTGTTTAAACTGTGTTGTTGGCGTCAAATGTTAGATTTACTTCTATCTTATAGAAAGAAGTTGCTCAGTGAAAAGAATGAAAACAAGTGAAGTTGTACTGTAACTTATAATTGTTCAAAAAAATCTTTGCGTGATTGATCTGCACCATATTAATGTATGCTAAAATGTTAGAAACAAGCTCTTTTCTTGAACCACAGACATTCCAGTGCCTCCCTGATTTCATTTTCACAAACTTTTTTTTTGTACATTAGCATGATTATCACTCCACCTTTTGTTTTCCAGCTTCTGCTAGTATAATAGCAAGGTTCACTCCTACATGGGTTTGTGTTTATACGAGCAATTTTTACACAAGTGAGCGCAGCTTAGTTTTTCTCCAGAGATGGAGCTGGAGAGAGAAGACTTTCTCCTCAAATCCCTGAAATCCCTGTCGTTTAGGGGCAAAAGGTCACATCGCTCACCGCTCAGCCCCAAGAGAAAGAAACAGAAAAAGACAGATGGAAGAGGCAAGAGGGAGGATGGATAGTGGGGGGGGGGGGGGGCCTCCCCCCCCCGGGGCTGTGGGACAAATTATACCAGAGAGGGGATGTCAGTTATATCGTGCTTCTCTAAAACACACGTGTGTGTGTGTGTGTGCACACTGACAGACACACAAAAGTCTCCCAGGTGTTGGCGGTAAGTAAAAAAGCAAATCTGAGCCTACAAAATGCATTGAATTTGTTCCTTTTAATCCTCTAATTAAAAAGAACAAAGGCCAGAAACATGTTCCTCACACAGAGATGCACAAATGTAGAGTGAGTGTGTCACTGAGTCATGTTCCAAAGGCCAAAGCACATATCAAAGGTCCGACCGAGAGCACTAAGGGAAGAGAGATAAGAACGTTTCCTGGGAACTTCCAGAAGCATAGAGACTTGTTTCATTACCACAGGGATGGTTCCGCAAGGGTATCTGCTGCTATTTGTGGGAGTCTGTGTGTCATACAGAATTTGTAAGAACCAGGCTTTTTTTTCAGACAGTGTTTTGGCATTTTGCCTTACTGGCATGACTGTACAGTGCTGCAGTGAGTAATGAAGAGGCGAGTGGAAGAAAGGAGAAAAATGGAGAGACCAGGAATAACAAGGCTCAGTG